AAAAAAAAAAAATGAATAGTATGGCAAGCCTTGCACTGCTGGAAACACAATTTTTTTTTTGGTGCTAGAGCAGCCACTATTCACGTGAATAGTATCCGCCCTAGGGCTCCCCTTGCCATGGCAAGGGGCTAACTGGTGGAAGTGCTCTAAAGCTTGGGGAAGAAAAAGAAAATTGGACATGAAGGTGATTTTATGATAAGTTTGATGTGCTTGCTAACCGAATTGACTGGAACTCCTAATGGTGACATGGCAGGCTCAAATGTCTCGTGCTGTCGCTAACACGTTGGACAGGATGTGTGAGAGGACGAGCCAAGTTTCTAGGAGAAAAAAAGAAAACTATATAATTAATTAAAACCAGGCGAGAATCCATGAGAATTATTTAATAGAATTTAAAGTTGAAATTCACCCCTTCCAAATTATTATTATTTTTTTCCACAGTGAAATTTCTATATTTTTATGTGTTTTTTTTTTTCTTCTAAAAATTCAAACGTGAGAATTGGTGTATGTCTAAATCCCAAATTAATTTTCCCTATCTAAACGCACCGTAACACCCAATCTTTTGCATCAAATAAGAAAAATAAAAAAGACTCAATCTTTTCTTATCATGAATTCTATTTATATTAGAAAATGCCCTGAGGCCCTGACCAAGAGTAATTGCACACAGCACAGCCTTTTCTGGTCTTTGGGCCTAAGGTCTTAGCTGTCTCTCACCTCGTTCTTATCCCTCTTGCCCCTCCTCCTCCTCTTCAAATTGGTTCTCTTGCTTTGTCATTCTCAAGAGATCTCTTTGTTTGTCTGGTTAAGAGAGAGAGAGAGAGAGCACTAGAAAATGACTGGGTTTGCAGAAGGTGAAAGCGTTACTCTTGATCTTCTCAAGAAGAAAATGGCGGAGTTTGCCAAAGAAAGAGACTGGGATCAGTTCCACAGCCCCAGAAACCTTCTCTTAGCTCTGGTTTGTTCATCTTTCAAAACCCATAAACATGTCTTCTTGTCTTCTCTCATGTCATTTTGTGTTTGGCCTTTACTGTTTGATAGGTGTTTTTCTTTATTAATAATTTGTGTGATCCATGAAATAGGGAAGATCCAAATAAATTTGTTAGATTCTGTGCTATTCCCATATTTTCTTTCACTTTCATCATGGGCTTGTGAAGATTTGACCGAAATAAACATAGCTGACTTACTCTAGCTGGATTGTTAAACAAATGGGTTTGCATGCGTTGCCAGTGGGCTTCTTATTTTTGTATGTTTTCAATTCTTTTTAACCTTCTTCTTATTAAAACCCAAGTTAAGATTTTAAAGTTTTTAACTTTTGGCCTGAGTATTAGTGAATCATGTTTAACCAGAGGTCAAACTTGACTTGCTTTGCAAACGGATGTTCCTTTTTGTTTTTGTCATGGTATTGAGGCGAATGTCTTAGCAGCCCGCATTTCTGTGTTTTCTTGCCCCCTTGTGCTTTTTTTGTGCTTTTTAAATTGTCGTCATTCGCAGAAAGTTAAAACAATCAGAAGGCTAAATTTTTTTTGTTAATGTTGAGTTGGATGTAATAAAGTTCTGGCCTTTCTGATGAAATCTCAGGTGGGTGAAGTTGGAGAGCTATCTGAGATATTCCAATGGAAAGGGGAGGTTCCAAAGGGACTCCCTGACTGGAAAGAGGAGGAGAAAGAACACCTGGGGGAAGAGCTTTCTGATGTTCTGCTTTATTTGGTCAGGCTTTCTGACATCTGTGGTGTTGATCTTGGCAAAGCTGCTCTTCGCAAGGTTGGGCTCAATGCCATCAAGTACCCTGTTAAGCAGAGCCAAATGAATATCACAAGCAACAACACCATCAACAGTGATGAAAATGCACAGAGGGTTTAACTTTCTTTGCTTGGAAACACCCACCACCACGGGTTTTTCTTTGCTGAACTGTTAATACTATATTTGGGTGTTTATGGGATATGTGGCTTGGGCCTTAGGATAGGAGCCTTTTAGGGATGGTTTTCATTTCATGAGTCAGAGACTAGTAATGGTGTGGGCAATTGATTCTCAGAGATTTCTTACTGTTTTGGCTTCTGAATCAAATCCCTCTGACAGTTGTGAGATATGGTGTGATTCTATAATAATATTTTCCCTGTTTCTTCATAGATATTTGTGACCTGCCCTTTTAACCATTGTGTACTGGTTTTACTTTCCAAGGGTCACCATGATCTGTTAGGAATTTGAAAATACTTGACTGAAACAATTTATGCAGAATCTGCATGAACTGAACTGAATATTTGAACTGGTCAATCGACAGTGTTTACCAACTGCGCTAGACGAATCGTCTAGCGGTGTTTGTCTCCACTTGGCTCACTTTAGTCTAGTCTAGTGGCGGTGTTTGTCTCTATCATTGTAGTTTTATTGTTAGGTAAGTTGCTAAAATTCTATTGTTTGTAAAGAAAAAATCATATCGCTTGGTATGGTATCTTATCAACAACTTGTTGATAAGATTATGAGTTGTCATGGATGTGATTAAATTCCACAACATTAATACATTCGTACGTAAATCATTAATTGCGTGATTCTTGATTGAACGTGTGCTTCAAATTTATTATTTGATACATAAATCTCAAGCATTTGTACTTAAATCTGTTGTAACTGTTATTAATTTCAATCAAAACTGGCATATTTGCTTGATAATACGTTTCGAATTGACATGAGACTCTGATTAGCATGGTGACTTGTTAGGTAAGCAGGCAATAATAGCACACAGTGGCACTGTCCGGCTGGGTCCTATAGCCTTGCTTGGCAAAACCAGTAACATTTGAATTCTTGTATCTCCCTGCTTTCTTATATTGAAAAAAAATTACCACAAAGTCGTGTAGTGCCTAAACAATGTAAGTTACGTATCAACTTTTCAGGAAGAAAGAAAATTTTGGATAGAAAGTGTCGGATTAAAGTCATAAACAGTGGGACTAATGCACGTAAACTTATCCCATCACAGACTTGATATATCTTGTATAACCTAATGTTCAAAAAGTAAAGGGAAGCTTTCTCCATGCACTGAGAATACTACTAAGAGCTTCTACAATCGTACTTCCTATTTTTAAGTCAAATTCTAGCTAAAAGCACACGAAAGTTAGTTTAGGAGTTCAATATAAAAGTTGAATTTCAATCACACTCTCTAGTTTAGGGAGTTATAAATATTATAATTCTTTTTTAGTTCAATATAATAGTCATCTCTATTTTAAAAATATGTTAACGTCGATTAGAAGTTTAAAATATACATAAAATAAAACAACATTAAATTATAGGGAGTCATTAAGAGTCTTTATTTTCTTTTCATATTTAAGTCTCTCTATTTTAAGAGGTGGATAGAGAGCATAATTGGAGTTGTATTTTTCCAATTCTTCCTTAAAATTTGTTTAAAGATATGATTTAGAAAGTTCATTGTGAATGCTCTAAGTTCAATCGTCCATACCCAAGTGGGTGACATCCAATCACCAATACCCAACTTCTTGCTACATCAACGATTGAAGTCAATCATGGTCGGTAAGTGACTCATCCAAGCACATTAAATGTGAAAAAAGAAAAAAGAAAAAAGAGAGAAGGAAAACATTAGAGGATATATAGACATGCGCTAAAGCTGTCTGCAAAAGGGCAAATAATATGCATGTTTGTGGGACCAAAGCTTATAACATACCAAAAAAGCTTGACTATGTGAAAGAGGCAGCTCAACAAAAGTGAAGGTAACTTAACATAAGATTTTAATGCAGGATAAGTTAGGTGTGCATAATTGTACGGATAAAACCATTGGCACCTATACTTTCCCCTTTGCTGAATAGTGTGTGACCACAATCACCCATTTGTCTATAGTGGGGGTATTTCGAGATGTTCGTATTGAGTACATGAAAAAGAAAAAGAAAGAAAGGATCTCCGAGTTTGTATTGGGATGATTTTTATTTTTTATTTGGGTATATAACTCGCAGCAATGAATCACGTAATCAGTACATGATGAGAGTCAAATATAAGAGCGTATTATTCAACAACTATATATGAGAAAAAATTGACTGCAATAAGTGTATACACCTCATAATATGAGAAAAACTTGTATACCATAAGAATAGATAACTCTGTTTTGCTATCATCAATAAAGAAATCAATCATGTTTCGCTATTCGTAATAAGAATTTTACATGACGTAGCGTGATTGGATGAAAAGAGCAAAATAATGTTATTTTAATCCCGTCACATGTACATTTTTCTCCGGAAGTAGGTAAGTTTTTCCTCAATTCGTGTACAAGAATTTTGGTTGAGATGGTCAAATTCAGTTGCCCCCCTATCTGATTGTCAACAACTCATTGCCAGCCCTTCAAAGACGTCATGCGACTGACGTCAATATATAACTTGCTATAAGCTTTTAGGCAATATGTGTAACACGAGTGAAGTTGGTTGCAAGTAAACTGGTTAATTAAAATTTAACTGTGGTTAGTAGTTGTAAATAAATCAAAACAGCCTTGTAGTATTCTCTCGAGTCTAAAAACCGGGAGGTTCCAAAATAGCCAATGGGGTCATGGGCTTCATGTTCTTCCTTTCATCTTTTAGGTCTTGCCAATATTGTCAAATGGGCTGTTTTCCTCCCATAGTTATCCCTCTCAGCTCAAAATTATTTGGATTGGGCTTTTGAAGACTTAATGAGTTGTGGATAACTTGTTGTAGAGAACGACCATTGGGCTTGTTCAATTAGACCTGACAAAATCATATAGGACATGATCAGGTACATAATGTGCAAACAAAATTATTAACAAGTCATGTTAGTGTATTTTTTTTATGAAACACGATAATAACTTGTTATACTATTGTATTTGATATCATTTGGTAAACATTTTATATCTTGGAATTTTGTTGAACAAAAAATAGAATAGAGAGGTAAACGGGTGAATACGTGACATGAAAGATTTATGCATGAATTCAAGATTTGTTATCTCATGTTTGCTTTTCGTGAAAAAATACCAGTTGAAGCGGAGGGTTTCTTCAAACAACAAGGAGCTGGGTCAACCATTCAATCAAATGAAATTGAGCATGTTTCCCATCTCTTCTCGAGAAACAAGTGTGCTATGCAAAATTGTGCTCAATTTCATATGCGGCAATTCCTCCAAGATCTCTTCTTTAGTTGGGGAAAAAATCCACACGAATCGGATTTTTTGAGGAACATATCTAGAGAGAATTGGTATTTACATGAGATTCCTCTTTCTTATTCTTAAACAAGTCCCCGAGAGGGCTTAGTTGATCCACGATTTATGTTTCGTCTTTCGTTTCCTTTTCGTTTGTTTCGAGAAATATATCGATCAATTCCGATTCCTTCGTTTCTATTGATTCTTTTCCGATTGAGATGTATGAATCCATGGGTCTATGTGTGTATATAGATCCTGTTCATGGATTAACGAAAATGTGCAAAAGCTCTATTTGCCTCCGTCATTCTATGAGTCTCTTCCTTTTTGCGTATGGAGTGAGGAATCCTCTTTTCGACTCTGACTCTCCCACTCCAGTTGTTGCTTTTCTTTCTGTTACTTCGAAAGTAGCTGCTTCAGCTTCAGCCACTCGAATTTTCGATATTCCTTTTTATTTCTCATCAAACGAATGACATCTTCTTCTGGAAATCCTAGCTATTCTTAGCATGATATTAGGGAATCTCATTGCTATTACTCAAACAAGCATGAAACGAATTTTCAACGTGCTTGGAGAGCTTGTTGATAATTTAGGTCCTGTATATACTCGCACAACATCTCCTATTCATAGATCTGCGCCTGCCTTTATACAGTTAGATACAAAATTATCTATTTTTGAAACAGGAATTAAAGTAGTAGACCTTTTAGCCCCTTATCGCCGTAGAGGAAAAATAGGACTATTCGAGGGGGCTGGAGTGGGTAAAACAATACTCATTATGGAATTGATCAACAACATTGCCAAAGCTCATGGGGGTGTATTCGTATTTGGTAGAGTAGGTGAGTGTACTCGTGAAGGAAATGATCTTTACATGGAAATGAAAGAATCTGGAGTAATTAATGAACAAAATATTGCAGAATCAAAAGTGGCTCTAGTCTACGGTCAGATGAATGAACCGCCAGGAGCTCCTATGAGAGTTGGTTTAACCGCCCTAACTATGGCGGAATATTTCCGAAATGTTAATGAACAAGACGTACTTCTATTTATTGACAATATCTTCCGTTTTGTCCAAGCAGGATCCGAAGTATCCGCTTTATTGGATAAAATGCCCTCCGCTGTGGGTTATCAACCTACCCTCCGCTCTAATAGCTCCGAATAAATTAAATACATGCATTAAGATATGAAGGCTTCTTATTCCACAACAATGAAAGCACTTTTTCACTCTTTCATATACTAGGGGATTTCACTTGGAAAAGAAAATGTTCCATACTAATGGATTCGGGTTCATAACCATGGGTTCCAATGTACGAGATCTTGTAGTACTTACCAATGAGGCCCTATCGATTAGTATTACACAGAAGAAATCAATTATAGACACTAATATAATTAGATATGCTCTTCATAGACAAACTTGGGATTTGCGATCCCAAGTAAGATCGGTTCAGGATCATGGGATCCTTTTCTATCAGATAGGAAGGGCTGTTGCACAAAATGTACTTCTAAGTAATTGCTCCATAGATCCTATATCTATCTATATGAAGAAGAAATCATGTAACGAAGGGGATTCTTATTTGTACAAATGGTACTTCGAACTTGGAACGAGCATGAAGAAATTAACGATACTTCTTTATCTTTTGAGTTGTTCTGCCGGATCGGTCGCTCAAGACCTTTGGTCTCTACCCCGACCCGATGAAAAAAATGGGATCACTTCTTATGGACTCGTTGAGAATGATTCTGATCTAGTTATATTAGAAGTAGAAGACGCTCCAGTGGGATCCTCACGGACAGAAAAAGATTGCAGTCAGTTTGATAATGATCGAGTGACATTGCTTCTTTGGCCCGAACCATGGAATCCCTTAGATATGATGCAAAATGGATCTTGTTCTATCGTTGATCAGAGATTTATCTATGAACAATACGAATCGGAGTTTGAAGAAGGGAAAGGATTCATCGACCCGCAACGGATAGAGGAGGATTTATTCAATCACATAGTTTGGGCTCCTAGAATATGGCGCCCTTGGGGCTTTCTATTTGATTGTATCGAAAGGCCCAATGAATTGGGAAATTACCTATTCAAAGCAATTTACGTGAAGGACTGTCTTTAACAGAATATATCATTTCTTGTTATGGAGCCCGAAAGGGAGTTGTGGATACTGCTGTACGAACATCAGATGCTGGATATCTTACACGCAGACTTGTTGAAGTAGTTCAACACATTGTTGTACGTAGAACAAATTGTGGCACCATCTGAGGCATTTCTGTGAGTCCTCGAAATGGGATGATGCCGGAAAGAATTTTTATACAAACATTGATTGGCCGTGTATTAGCAGACGATATATATATAAGCCCACGATGCATTGCCGTTAGAAATCAAGATATTGGTATTGGACTTGTCAATCGATTCATAACCCTTCAAACACAACCAATATCTATACGAACCCCCTTCACTTGTAAGAGGACATGATAAGTTAAGGGTGGAATTTGAATTTAGGATAATTTTATACTGCAAGAAACTAACAGGACAAATTACCAAATCTATATGCATGCCCCACTCTCCTCTCTCAGCTCGAAATTAAGGTGTTGGTAGACTATGATCAGGCGCATGCAGCATAAAAACTAATGAAAGCTACCACCTGTTGTAATCCAATCATATCCCTATATTTTAAATGGTTTTTCTTTCTAAACCAAATCATGGCGTATTGTTCTGTAAAAAGATGTTTAATCACTCGAAAGTTTATGGACATTTCAAACTTTCGATCCCATCCGGACACAGTAACAAGTCTCACGTACATGTTCTTTTAAACTGATTGTCTTTTGAACATAAAGAAAGTGTTCTTCTAATCATGGCGGCTATGGCACCGTAGGAGTGCTCGCGACGACGTTTTGAAGAGTTAAGGTTAGGAATTTTGTGCTTGGTCGAATAGATTTGGGGATTTTACAATAAGGTCTGTGGACGATATCCTTCAATATTATATATATTTGAATATTTTAAAGGTATAGCCGGCTATACTGTTTGAATATATTTAAATATTTTGATAGTATAGCCAAGAGGCTATACTATACGGATCTATACTCTTCGAACATACTCGAATGTTTTAAAGAGATACATTGACAACCTTGGAGTCTCTTAGGATAATATCTTTTGCGTTTTCAGCCCCTTCGTAATCAAGACAATCCAATTTTATCCTCACATGCAAATGTTTCATAGAGATAAGATCTCTCAAATCTAATTGGATGCATGAATCTCCTCCTATCTTTCCAGTTTTGTCTGAGTGTAAAATATCTGCTATCCTTGATGCATACATCTCCTGATTATCCTCTAATAATTCTTTCTTTCTTCTAAGTTTTAGATACAATGCCGCATAAACAAAAACCTGCACAATGCCAAGAATGAAGACGTAAGGGCAAAATTGAAACCATGGCCACAGATTGTGTTGCTTTCAAACGACCCAAAACAAAACAAGTAGAGATAAAAACTGAAGGTGCACACCTCACTTGTTCCGGGACTAGTATTGACAGCACAATGGATGCAAACTTTATCTTTCAACTCTGATTCAGGTGGTGATATCAAAGAGGCAAGATTATCCAATTCATCATACCATTGTTGAGCAACACCAACCTGCGAAGAGCTGAACTCCTAAGATTCTAAAAGCATGGAGTAGACAATTTTGTACTGTCTGTAGGATAATGAAACTTAATCTGGCAAAAAAATGAATAAAAGAAAATAAGCTCTGCCGGTAGGAACCTCCTCTGAAGACCCTCGTACATCCTCTATGCCTGACGCTTCCGTAGCGGATCCTCTTGCCTGGCGCCATTTACAACCTTGTTGTAACTCAGTATCCACAGGGATATCTACATTTAACCGCATGCTAACTCTGCCTGTTACACAGACAATAAAACTCCAGGATCAAAGAGGCACCAAAACAGCTTACTCTACATGAGAACTTGTTGGAAGTTTGAATTAAATTCAAGAACCTTTGTCCCACATTGATAGAAAGTAGAAAGAGTGAGGTCCTTATAAGTGTGGAAGTGCCACACTTAGTAAATGGAAGTAGGCCAAGTGGAAGCAATTTGGGCTTCAAAATCGATTTGGGCTTTGAATATTATATAAAAATATATAATATTTAATAGTCAAAAAGATGGGCCTTGGGCCTTGGGGCACTTTCAGATTTAAAATTATTTTTTGGTTTCGAATTAATAATTTTTTATTAATTCGGATTAGTTTTATTAACTGTTTTCTAACAGTTGTGACTCTTCTGATAAGGTTTCAGAAGTTTATTTAAATCAAATAAGGCCTCATACGTTCAACACAGAAAAAGCATTCTACAAGCATTTCATATTGTCTGAGAGGAAAACAAACAACGTTCGCCAGATTCTAAGTCCGAGTGCTAGGGCTTAGAATACAGATAGTTGAATCCTGGGAGGCAGTCACCTGTAGAACTTCAAGCACCGAGAAGGGGTGAAATTACTGTCTTTAGGACATTGCATCAAATCTGCAAGCCTCTATCTCAAATTCAAGTCAGTTTTATTTATTGTTCATATACTGTATTCTGTGTTACAGATTGTTATAAATTCTGTTTATATAATTGTTTTAATCAGTCATTGATAATTGTTTTTTTTTCCAACAGAACTAATGTCGGGAAAGGAATTAGCAACGACTGGCAGACAGTTGTTTATCTGCATGATTGGCAAAATCTTTTTTTTTTTCTCTCTGGGTCCAGCATGTTGACTTGATGCCAATAATAAGATGCGTGGAACCTAAGACAAACAACTAACATTCCATCAATCTCTTCCTGATGTCCACCAGCACTGTTAAATCAGCAAAAAATATGAAGAAAGACATGGAGTTCGTGAGAAAGCAATTCAGCCTTTCATTGTCACATAATCAGAACATGGAAAGTATAAAAGAAGATTGGAATTATAAGGAAGCTAGTTAGCAATGCATATTTTTGTCTTTAAAAACATACACAACATAAAAAAATTCAAAAGCACACACACCCACCCTTTGAAAAGGAAGAAGAGCTGAGCCGTAGATCCTGGATCGAACGGCTGAGAGAAGCTGCTTTGTGATCCAAGTCTACGTCTGCTGACCTGCTAGCAATCCAGCCATTTTTACTCTCTCTCTATCTATCTCTCTCTCTCTCTCTCTCTCTCTGAATTGCAGTGTTGCGGTTTCAGAATTCGAACCCGAAACGAAGCGGGTTGGGAGCAATTCGCCAAATGGGTTTTACCAATATGAGACAAAATCAACTCTCTCCTCAGTTATCAAGTGGACCCCACCTACTTTTGCATTGACCAAAATTTCTCCTCTCATTTAGCCAACAGACAAATGCGAAAAGCATAAATCAAGCCGCAAATCATAAAACAATACGATTTAACAAAACTATTCCCGGTATTTTCTCGACAGCCAAACACAACGCAAAAGTCCGAAATCTTTGGTACCTTGGACGAAGGAATCAGCCTCTCTGTGTAAGGAAATTAGGAAGACGAAGAAAAATTCTCTCCTTCATTAGTGAGGAATATACAAAGATTACAACACTAGGAAACAAATCTCTAGTTATAACAGGACTAACAAAAAAGAGGAAAGTAAAAATACTGCAGAGAAAATTTTCAATTTCGAAGAGAAACCAGAGAAAAAAACAACTTGCACAACTAGGAACATCTTGAAAAAGCCTATAAATATGAGGCCAATTTCAGAGAGACTTCACCATCACAACAAGGTGCAATGGCAACCAACCTCACTTCTTCTTTCACTTTTGCTCTCATCCTCTGTGTTTCAGCTCTTTCACTAATTCCGCACACCACCTCATTATCATCCTCATTCCAATTCCCTCCAACCCAATCCACAATCCTCCCTGACCCTTCAAGCTTCTTCTTTGCAAACCTCCTCTCCACCCCTCTCCCCACCAATTCTTTTTTTCAGAACTTTGCTCTCAACAATGGTGACAAACCAGAGTACTTCCACCCCTACAGCATCAACTCATCCTCCACCTCTCTGTCTTTCTCCTACCCATCTCTCTCCTCCACCTCTGCTTTCATCTCCCAAACCTTTGTCCCTGACCTCACCATCTCCGCCTCCCAAACCAGTGCCAACTTAGCTACAGCAAATAACAGCGGCCGTGTAATCTCTGCCTTCACTGATCTCAGTGTCACCTTGGACTTTCCCTCCTCCAACCTTCGTTTCTTCCTCGCTCGAGGAAGCCCCTATGTCACCTGCAATGTGTCTAGCCCCACTGCGGTTTCTATCTCAACCATTCACGCAATCCTCGAATCCTATTCGAGCAACTCAAAGACCAAGTTCACCGTCCAGCTTAACAACAATCAAACATGGGTTATGTACACCTCCTCCCCAGCTAATTTGATTAGACGCAGCCCATCAACCTTAACTTTTGATGGCTATTCTGGGAATATTCGGATTGCATTGGTGCCGGGTTCTGATCCAAAATACGTGGCAATCCTTGACCGGTTTAGTTCTGCTTACCCCATTTCTGGTGAAGCTGTGTTCACAAAGCCATTCACTCTGGAATATAAATGGGAAAAGTATGGACGGGGAGATTTGCTTATGCTAGCTCATCCTCTCCATCTTCAGCTTCTGTCTAATGCTACTGTTTTGGAGGATCTCAAGTACAAGAGTATTGATGGCGATCTGGTTGGCATCGTTGGCGATTTGTGGGAGTTGAAATCTCATAATATATCAGTCACTTGGCATTCAATCGGAGGTGTCAAACAAGCCTCATACACTGAAATTGTTTCTGCGCATGTTAAGGCTCTTAGTTCGACGCCAATAACAACTGAATCGCCATACTTTTATGGGAAATTGGTTGCCAGAGCAGCAAGGTTGGCTTTAATTGCCGAGGAGGTGAATTGTCTTGATGTGGTTCCAGCAATTAGGAAATACTTGGCGGACGCCATTGAGCCATGGTTGGATGGTACTTTAAGTGGGAATGGTTTTTTGTATGATCCTAAATGGGGTGGACTTGTCACCCAACAAGGATCAACCGATCGCGGTGCAGATTTTGGGTTTGGAGTTTATAATGATCACCATTATCATCTTGGATATTTTGTTTATGGTATTTCAGTGCTTGCAAAGATTGACCGTGCATGGGGGAGCAAGTACAAGCCTCAAGCTTACTCTCTTGCAGCAGATTTCATCAACAT